AGTTACCTTTAATTGGGCTACTTATTAAGAAAGCACACAGATAATCATGTACTGAAACAATGATTTAAACATTATTGCATTTATAGTGATAGCAAAATAAGACCACTCAAGTAGGCAAGTTAAGACTCATAACCCACTTTAGTTATTACCAGATTAACGGTGGAATTTAACTGATTCTAACCAACAGTGTCTGTCTCTGGAAGTGTCCAGAGTTCAATCCTGGTGCAGTGTTGTTCTTCAAAGTTCTGCTCCTGAATTGCTCTGGTGTTTGAATCTTACACAGATTTTCATCCTTCAAGTCCATGATGTGATATTATTGATGAGTCCTTTCATCCAAAATATCGATTACTCTTTTGGAGTCCTTGAGACTGCAGCCTGCTTCCTTATCAGAAGTAACTCTGTTCCTTGTTTCATTCAGTGTTGACTGTCTGTTTGAAGACATATCATCTCTTGTAATTAATTCCTTAAGGGCAGTTATCAATCAGATGACAAAAATTTTGTTCATGTAGCTTCTTAGACATGGCTAATTGCTTTCAATTTTTGTATAAATTTGTCCTTGTCCTTAATAGTTTATTCCAGACAGAGTTATTACTGCTTCATTCCATGTGTGATGATCCTTGGGTAATGAAGCTGAATTCTTTGCTGAGGACTGACTGTTTGTCCTCAGTGAAGGGGAGATCTGGGGGGATGGTGAAGACCTGGCAGTGCTTGGGGCTGGGGCTAGGTGTAAAGTTGGTTGTAGAGCTGGATGTGGATGTAGACTCAGTGATGTCGTCATCTACAATCCAACCCCACAACCAAAGAGACTACAGAGCATCAAACACATAATAAATACATTCAGTGATACATTAAATAAGTTCAATAAAAGGAATAAGGTGTTTCTCATACCAGAGTTTGTAACCATCTATTTTTGGCTGTAATCCTTGTCAAAAGTGGAATATTAGAGTCACTGTAAGCTTGAAGAGTGTCTGACGTGAGAGTAAGAAATTTGTGATAAAAATTTGACTCATATGTACATTGCACCAACACAGACAAGAAGTAAAACGTATATACGGCTACAAACTGACCCCACAACCAAACAGATATTTCCCTCCCCACCCCTATCTGCCTTTCGTAGGGACTACTCTCTCTGCAACTCCCTCATCCGCTCCACACTCCCCATTAATCCCACCACCCCTGGCACCTTTCCCTGCAACCGCAGGAAGTGCTACACCTGGCCCACACCTCACCCCTCACCTCCATTCAAAGCACAAAACAAGCCTTTCACATCAAAGAAATTCACCTGAACATTCGTCAACTTGGTCTACTGTATCCGCAGTTCCCGATGTGGCCTCCTCTACATTGGTAAGAACAAGCGTAGACTTGGAGACCGTTTCATAGAGCATCTGCGCTTTGTTCCCAACAAACAACAATACCTTCCGGTTGCAAACCATTTTAACTCCCCCTCGTAGTTCCTGGGTGACGTCTCCATCCTGGGCCTCCTCCAGTGTCACACTGACACCACCTGCAAACTAGAAGAGCAGCACCTCATATTCTGCCTCGGGAGCCTACAGCCTGATGGCCCTAACGTAGAATTCACTGGTTTTAAAATCTCCCCACCTCTGGCCTAATCCCATGACCAACCCTCCCTCTCATCCCCACCTCCTTGACCTTACACAACCAGTCCATCTTCTTCCCCACCTATCTGCCCTTCTTTCCCACCAACCAATCCCCACTACCACCTACCTGTATCCAACCTATCACCACCCCACCTACCTTTCCCCAGCCCCACCCATCCTCCCTCCCACCTTCATGACCTGGCACAACCTATACATTTTCTCTCCCACCTATCTGCCTAATCCATACCACTGACCAATCCCCACCACTCCTTACCTACACTCCTCTATCACCATTCTACCTATTCTCCAGCCCCACCCTCCTCTCTCTATTTATTTCTGAGCTCCCTTCCCCTTTCCTATTTCTGAAGAAGGGTCCCAACCCAAAACATCAACTTTCCCGCTCCTCTGATGCTGCCTGACCTGCTGTATTCCTCCAGTTCCATACTGTGCTGTCTCTGACTCCAGCATCTGCAGTTCTTGCTATCTCTGGTCAATTAAAGTATGGGAAAGTTTGGCTCACTATCTCCTCTGACATTTGTTGGGTTTTATGCCTTTGATATATTCAAAGACGACATACTAGACCATATATGTACAGGAATTTTACTTAGAGCACTTTTTATATCTGCTCTCATGCTTACAGTTTCCACTTCAGCTTAACTTCTCTTTCTCAGTAATCATATTGTTGAAAGACAACAGCAGCAGATATAGGGGAACACATCATTGCAGGTTCCTCTCCAAGTTACTCACCATCCTGACTTGAAAAAATATTGCTGTTTCTTCAATGTTGCTGGGTTGAAATCTTGGAATTCTTTTCCTATCAGCGTTTGGGTGAACCTGCACCAAATGGACTGCAGTGGTTCAAGAGCACCATCCTCTTAAGGGCAATTAGGGGTGGGCAATAAAGGCTGGCCCAGCCAGTGAAGCCCACATTCCCTAAATTAATTAAAGAAAAAACTCAGACTTAGCAAACAGCACACAGAACAAATGTCTCGTTGACATTCATAATCAAATATTGAACAATTAAAAATTGGATATGACAGTCAGTGAAAGTAATTGTCTCCTGTTGGGACTCCATAATCAAATGCAACCAATGGAAATGAAAACTGAATTCACTAGAAATAAATCAAACTTATTTATTGTACAAAATATTTTATTTTTACAGGTGTAACAATGCAGGCTCTTTCTACTGTTCCTGTCATGTTCAACTATTGGGTAAGTTTGTGGACCAGAAGGAAAAGTATGAGTACTGTCATTCTAGTTGTATTATTTTGTTCACTGTCCCTGCAAAAGAAAGTAGCTTGTAACAAGTTATATATTTTTCATGCTCAATAGTGTTCACAGCAGAGTTGGGTTGTCCATGAGAAAGCTTGTCTATTATCAAATCAGTACCTCTGACACCTATAATAACTGAAGTATAACAACCATAAATGTAGCATGTCAATTATGAAGGAAGCACTGTTTGGAATATTAGGTAAAAAAAAATGTAGAGTGTAGAAAATAGAAATGTTGATCAGGTGCACATTATAATCAGGTTTACAGGGTTTAAATTATACTGTATTATACAGAACCAATTCACTGATCCTACAGGGTTTAAATTATATTGTACTACATAAAACTGATTCACTGATCCTACACTACAGCAAAGAAGACACACTTAAAGTAACAAGAAAAATATGCTACAAAACTATATTGCTTATATGTAGTGGTGTCTGCAAAATAGCCTCTCTTATACAGTTCAATACACTTACTTTGCTCTCCTTCATCATTTCTTTTTCACAATGCTTCACAATGCTTCACAATCTCCATTTTTCCACTTTTGGTCTTTCATTTCTTTCGCTCATTGTTTACTTCACTTTCCATCACTACTTCTTTTCACTCTTCACTCTTTTTCCTTCACTTTCTAACTTCTCCTTCACTTTGTCACAGTTATTACTTTTATTTACATCCCTTTGCTCTCCTTGTTTCATTCTATGTATCTCTTTTCCTTGAACTTCCCTCCCCTACTCTGTGTTTCAATTCTATCTTTTCACTTTTGCACTTTTCTTTTCATGACCACAGAATGTCACAAACGAATTCATAGCTAATGAAGTCTTATCCATATCACTAAATTATAGTGAAATGTTGTCTCTGGCTCCGTCTTCTGGTTATGTGTTCCTAGTCATGTTGTCTTTCTGTTATCACTTACATTCAGTATCCCAATTCACTCTTATTCATTTCTACCTCAATGTTCTCTTTCTTTATACTACCCTCCTACTACTGCTTCAATAGTTTTCCTTTTGCTTTACAGCATGGAAAGATGCGGAAATCAAAAGTGTCTCTGAATCAGATAACACACATTATATTAGACTAGGGAGAGAAAACAAATGGTTCAACCAAGACCTTATTTTTAAAAAAGCTCCAGAGGGACAGACTCAAATAAAAAGAATCAGAAGGAAGAAATGTGACAGAGACTTAGAGGTTGGGAGGGACTGTCCTAACAGTTCTTTATAACATGTTAATACAAGGTATTTCACAATAGAATTATGAAACAAAATTTGACATTGAGCTACACGACAAGTTATTAGCACTGGTGACCAAAAACTCAGTCAAAGAAATACATTTTTAGGGGAGTTTAAAGGGAGAAGAGAGGGATGGAGGCAGAAGGTTTAAGTAGGGAATTCCAAAAATTAGGACCAAGGCAATTAGGAAGGGATTAAAATTAGCAATGTGTAAGATGCCAGTAAATTGGAGGAATACAGAGATAGCAAGGGATTATGTGTTTGGAGGAGGTTCTAAAGCTAGTGAGTGACATAGTCATGGATAAAAATTTTAGAATTGAAATATTTCTTGACAGAGCTAAAATAGGCCAGGAAGTACTGTCTGACAAATGAATGGGTATTGATTATGAGCAGCAACATTTTTGAGTCCAAGTTTACAGAGGCCAGCCAGGAGAACACTGGAACAGTTGACCCAAGAGAAAAGAAAGGTATGGATGAAGGTTTCAGCAATAGCTAAACTGAGGCAGAGGTAATTGTATTGGGAAAATGAATAACCACTATCTGGCAGTCTCAAGCAGTGGATTGCTCCTGTGTCCGTGTAACCATTACCAATTAGAATCAATTCTCATTCTAATACATAGAACGACAGACAATATGCAGAACAAGACAAGCCATTTGGCCCAATAAGCATATGCCAAAAATTTTTTATTCTCACAATCACCTTTCCATTGTATTTCATCTTACCCTTTGAATATATTATTTTTTCCCTTTTTCCTTTATGTACTTAATTAGCTTCTTTTAATTGCTAATTGCCTCAGCCAATCTCTGTGATAGCCAATTCCCAATTATCACAATTCTGAAGAAATTTCACCTGAGCTCTTCATTGGATTTTTAATTTAGTGACTATTTTATATTTAGGTATTACAAAATATATATCTGACACTTTGACTCATTATAAATTTTAGCTTTTTAGAGTTAGACTTAAATTTAGGTTTTACTGTCACATGTACTATAGGGTTCAAGATAACAGTGAAAAAGTGTACAATTTTGCCAAACACAATGTCATCTCAGGCACAAAATACTACATACAAAATCCTAGTTACAGAAGTAGAAAAATAAAGCACAAGTTAAAAAGTTCAGCACTACAGTTTTCTTAGTATAAAAGAGAAAAAATAAAGTTAGAAAGTCAAATATTACAGTCCTTTTTTAAGCCATGGGCCTACACACACTCCAAGGTGGGCCTTCCCTAAGAGGGCTCACTCTCCCTTGCTCTGGACTAAGACCCGCCTATGTTCACCGGTCACCTTTCAGTGTTCGGTTTTTCAGCAAAAACACGTTCCAGTTTATTTAGCCATTATTGACAGTTCACACAATATGTTTTATATGAATTGTAACCAAGATGCTGCCTGGATTAGTAGGTGTGAGGTATAAGGAAAGACTAGAAAAAAATTTAGGTTGTTTTCTCTTGAGCAGCACATGAGAGGAGATTTGATAAAAATCCAGGAAATTATGAGATGCATAGATAGGGTTGATGGTCAGAATCTTTTTCCCTGAGTTGGAGTGCCTAACACTAGGGGGCATGCATTTAAGGTGAGAGAGGAAAAGTTCAAAGGAGATGAGGGGCACGTTTTTTTACACAGACAGTGGGAGGAGTCTGGAATGCACTGCCAGGGGTGGTGGTAGAGATAGATATAATAATGGCATTTAAATGACTTTTAGATAAGCACATGAATGTGCAAGAAATGGAGGGATATGGACCAAGGATAGGCAAAAGGGATTATTTTCATTTGGTGTGATTTTCAGCGCAACATCGTGGGCTGAAGGGCTGTTCCTGTGCTGTACAGTTCTATCTTCTCTGATCTATTTGGTTTTACTTCAAGTAGCTTGTCTATTTGAATAAATATGTATATAATGCTATAACATGAAGCAAAACATAACTCTAGTTTTGGTGAAATAATTGTATCAAAAATTTGGTAATTGAAGCACCTCAACAATCAAAACATAACATACAATGAGCAGAACAAAATCCAGGCAATAGGCTCCACCCTGCCGCCTGGACAGCGAGCAAGATCACCACATTGCTTCTGGTTGGTATGGCCACTCCAGCATTTGTGACCATTATCAGTCTTAAGGGGAATTAATGATCTTGGGGATGTAAATCCAGAACCCGATAGCTACTGACTAATGACAGGATGGCACGTCTCCATTGTAGACAGTGTCACTAGAAATGATGGCACCTACCAGCAATGTATCCAACAGAGGCCCAAGATCAACAATGGACCTGAGGCTACAGGTGAGTGAGGGTGGAATCGGAATTGTGGGCTGGAGTGTGGTGTAGAGAGGAGGAGTTTTGGAGGCAAGATTATAGAGTGTGGCTTTCAGACACTGAGTGCCTTTGAACAGGAACCTATTTCCAGGAGCCTGCATTGAGACTCCCCTGCCCACTTTTGGAATACCAGTGATAGTGGGAATGAGGTATTTAAGTGACCATAAATCACCTGGTAAAGGACCTCAATTAATGCCTGGACAGAACGATCAACCACAAGCATTCCCACCCCAGACTTAATAGAAGTCAATGCAGGTAGGAACAAAGGTCTCCGTCTGGCATTTTCCTGGTCAACTAAATGCTCCCCTTGCTGACAACCTCATAAGGGGAGGGGGTGTGCATAAAATTCTGCCCAATATATTTGGGTACATTTTGAAACAATAATAGAAAAGTATTTATTTCCTCAGGATTTAAGAAGCTTTATGACTTTGCAAATTTTTAACTTGCACGGAGAATGATTTAATGGAATTATCAGCACGTACTCTCAGAAAACATCAATGTTTTTTTTTCTTTGATAGGCAAAACCCAAGGACACCCTGGACCTGTGCCATATTTTGAATGATGACATCGCAGCCACAGTACGTAAACACCCAAAGAGATTCACTGGTCTTGGTACACTGCCCATGCAGGACCCAGAACTTGCTGTTCAAGAAATGCATCGTTGTGTGAAAGAGTTAGGATTTCCTGGAGTTCAAATTGGCTCCCATATCAACGATTGGGATTTGAATTGCCCAGAGCTTTACCCAGTGTATGCTGTAAGCATAAACATCTTTTTAAATTGTTTACACACTGACATGCTTCTAAAAGAAATATTGCAAGTGCCACATGCTGATTAGCTAGAAATGTAAGTGCACAGGTGGAAGAAAATGGAATTGGCACTAATTTTTAGATTCATGACTTTAGTAGCCTTTTGTTAACAAAGAGTGGGATTTCCCCTGCAGGCTTTGGCACCCTGACATCAAGGTCAGCTGAAGGTCAGAGTCCCCAAATGTGCAGGGAACAGACACCTGATGATATGTCTCCAATTGCCAATTAATGGCAGCAGACTCACTGCTCATTTAAGGATGCGGAGCAGACTCTTGAGGCTGGTGGACCAATAGGGGAAGTGATGATCTAGTAGTACGATGAATAGATGATGGCTCTAGAGATCCCAAGTAACATTCTGGGGATCTGGATTTGAATTCCACCATGGTAATAAAAATCTGGAATTAAGAGCCTAATGATGACCATGAAACTGTTGATGATTGTTAGGAAATAACCCATTTGGTTCACTAATTCCTTTAGCAAAGGGAAACTGTTGTCCTTATTTTGGTCAGGCCTGCATGTGACTCCAGACCTCAGCAATGTGTTTCAATGTTAAGTGTCCACTGGGTAATAAGTGCTGGCCTGCCCCAGTGATACCCAAATCAATACCCACATAAGATGTCCTCCAGCTTTAAAGAAGCAGTTGCATTATCAGGTGAATAAGAGGGAGAGAACCTTGACTTTGAAGTGCCTTTTGAACTTTAAAATGAAAATATATTTAGCAGCTGGACCACCAGTGTGGAGGAGAATCCCTCCATGGTCAGACTTCAGCTAAAGATGAAGCCAGGCAGGCAGATGGCCCTCAACAGTTCACTCAGTTGGCTGGATGCTGACTTGTGATGCTGACAAAACATTCAATCCCCACACTGGCTGAGGTTATCATGAAGCAATCTCCTTCTCAACCTCTCCCCTCATCTGAGATGTGATGACCCTCAAGATAAACCACCATCCATCTGATCAAGTTCCCTTTCATGTACCCAGTCAAGCTAGTTTAAATGCTCCTCAGCAACCCTAGCAAATCTATCTGTGAGGATCATGGTTTCCCGATCCTGCTAAGGTATAAGCCAATGTGCTTACAGGGTACCATCTGCTCCCAAACTGGTCACAATGTCCCAGAAATCTAACGTCCTCCCACATATACTTCTCCAGTCATGTGTACATTCACTTAATCTTATTATTTCTATACTCATTACCACATAGTATTGGGAAGAATAATCTCTGCTTTCAGATTTTCATTCACTTTCCTGTCTATTAGCATGTATCAATGTGAAACATGATGTTTGACTGATCAGTCTCACCACAAGCTGCCAGCCACTTGGTGGCCTCTTTGATTCTGATCGCAGGGAGGCATCACCCTATCCTGGAGTCGCATGTAATGCTGCAGAAGCGGCTTTCAATTCCCCTAACTATTGAATCTATTACCCTCTTACGCTTCCACTGTTATTGCCCCTACCATCTGTGCAGCTCAGCCACTTGTGATGCCATGAATCATCACCCTCACTAATATCCAAAATGGAAAACTGTTTATTCACCCACAGGTCATGGGTGTCACTAGCTGGCTAGCATGTATTGTCTGCCGCTAGTTGCCCTTGAAGGTGGCGGTGAGTTACCCTCTTAAATCACTGCAATCCACACGCCATAGGTAGATTGACAAGCCCTTCGGGAGGTAATTCCAAGATTGTGAACCAGAGGCAGTGTAGGGAGAGTGTTTTATCTTCAAGTCAAGGTGGTGAGTGATTTTGAGGGGAAATTGTAGGTGGTGGTGTTCCCATGTATCTGTTGTCCTTGTCCTTCCAGATGGAAGTGGTCATGACGTTGGCATGTGCTGCCTAAGGATCTTTGGGAATTCCTGCAGTGCATCTTGTAGATAGTACACACTGCTGCTACTGAGCATTGTTGGTGAAGGGAGTGGATGCTTGTGGATGTAGTGCCAATCAAGCAGGCTGCTTTGTCCTGGATGGTGCCAAACTCCTTGAGTGTTGTTGGAGCTGCACTCATCCAGGCAAGGGGGGGGGGTATTCCATCACACCCCTGACTTGTCCCTTGTAGATGGCGGACAGACTTTCAGAGTAAGAAGGTTAGTTACTTGCTACAGTATTCCTAGCCTCTTACCTGCTCTTTTAGCTAAATTATTTATATAGTGAGTCCAGTTGCATTTCTGGTCAATGGTAGCCCCAAGGATGTTGATAGTTGGGTATTCAGTGATGGTAAGGGGCAGAAGCTAGATTGTCTCTCATTGGAGATGATCATTTCATGGCATATGTTTGGCATGAATATTATTTGCCACTTGTCAGCCCGAGTCTGGATATTGTCCAAATCTTGTTGCATTTGAACATGGACTGCTTCAGTATTGAGTATTCAATAATAAGCAGGAAAGACTCAGGGGAGTCCTGCACAAGCTGCCTGATACTTCTGGACTGTCTGCCAATCACCCTTTCCTTTTTTACCAGCTTAGTTTTAACCTGGGTCTCACTATCTTCTCTCAATGTGCTTTCCATGTACTTGTCAGCTTCACCAGGTGCAGTACACTGACTCTTGCCATCGTTCGAGTTCTGAGTTCAAGTTACTGCATTTTGTAATATTTCATACACCTACACTTGTCTATGCCATGTGAAGCTTCCAGGCAGTATGGTGGCTCAGTGGTTAGAAATGCTGCCTAACAGCAACAGGACCCAAGTTCAATTCCAGTCTTTGTGGAGTTTGCATGTTCTCCCCATGTCTGCATGGGTTTCAGCTGGGTGCTCAGGTTTCCTCCCATAGTCCCAAAATGTGCAGATTAGGCCATGCTAAATTGCCCCTTGATGTGCAGGCTAGGTGGATGCTGAGTTTTGTGGATGGGGTGGGTCTGGGTGGAATGCTATTTGGAAGGTTGGCAGAGATGTGATGAGACAAATGGCCTCTACCTGCACTGTAAGGATTCTATGACGGCCTTACATGCAACAGGATGAGCCTTAAATATGGTTGAAGTTGCCTTACCAAACCTTCAGCTTAATTTCAGACTACTTACTATAAACTAGAGAATAGAAATACAATTACTCACTAATTAGCTCTTTCTTGTATACTTAGGTGTGTAATTTTTCAATTATCCAGCTATTCACACACCTTTCCTAACGGTAGTAAATTAATCTAGCTTAAAGCAGATAATTACTGACCAATCAATTAATGACTTTTCTTCTTGGTTTTTTTTAATCTCTTCCTTTCTAATATTTATTCTTAAATTAATTTTGAAGGAAATGAGCAAAATGCTCACCAATTAATTACTTGTTTCCCTGTGATGTCACACTTTGATTATCTAAGCTGCAGACCAGACAGAGTAGTTGATAATTACTTCCCCTCTCACAGTCTCTAACCCTCAACACTTTCATTCTCTCCTTCACTGATCCCTCCCATCTCATTGCTCCCTCTGCTCTCACCAGCTACTTACTTATTACTTGTTAGTCTTTTTAGTTTTAAATCTGCCAGTTGTTTTGATTGGACCTCCTCCCTCACGGCATCAAATTCCCTTATTCACCAAGTTTCCAAGCTCGCACTCTGTAACCAGATGCACCCAGTGGTGAACTGCTGATTTCATGCTGCAGACTTTGTACACCTAGTAAAGCAAGCTGTACTTAGATTGGCTGAAATTCAACAGAGATGAATCAGCAATGCTGGCTAGAAAAATGAATTCAACAAGCCATCCAATTAACTGACTGCAGTTGCCTCTTGAGCAGGGAGTTTGTTTATCCCCGCCTAAGAGTGAAAGAAACTTGTCTTTAATCAGTTAAATGTTAAATGCAAACTAGACTATACTTTAAGAAAGAGATTAAGGGCTGGATTTTTCAAGGAGTGGCAATCTCATGCAGATTGCCTGCCACTCTGCACCCTTGTTTTTATAAGCGAGTTCCACATTTCTGACAGGAGATTCCTTCAGAAATGTTAAGGCATACTTCAATTCTGACAATTCTCTCCTCCCCCATTCCACTTATCTGGGACGGCAGTCTTCTTTCATGCTGTTCTCTCTTCCAGGCACAGTCACGTCTTGCAGTGACCCTGCTAAGACTAGAACTGAGCTGTATATTCTTCTGATTGGCCAATAAAATGTGTTGGATGGCAACTAATTAATCGTCTGACCTACAAAACACAAAGCCAAGGTCCTTTAAACAGCCAAGGAAGTGTAGGTCCTGGCTTTCTGTTCAACCATCAGGAACTCTGCTGCAATGATAATATTTACTGCATTGATTCCTTCTGAAAGTGAAGTGAAATGCCAGAGTGATGAATTAGGTTGGTGTCCCAGTGGTCCCAAACTTGGCAAAACATAGAACTGTACAGCATAGGAACAGGTCCTTTGGCCCATGATGTTGTGCCAAACATGATGCCAAATGAAACTAATCCCTTCTGCCTGCCATTGGTCCATATCCCTCCTTTTCTTGCATATTCATGTACTTATTTAAAAGTTGGTTAAATGCCCCTATTGATCTGCCTCCACCACCACTGCTGGCAGTGTGTTGCGCTCTCCTACCAGTCCATATAAAACATTTGCCCTACATGTCTCCTTTGAAATTCCCCCTCTAATCTTAAATGCATGCCCCCTAGTATTAGGCATTTCAACTCTGGGAACAAGACTCTAACCACCAACCCTATCTATGCATTTGATAATTATATAGATTTCTATCGAGTCTCCCCCCAGCCTGCTGCTCAAGAGAAAACAACCCAAGTTTTTCTAGCCTCTCCTTATAGCTTATACGCTTTAATCCAGGCAGCATCCTGGTAAACCTCTTCTGCGCCCTCTCCAAAGCCTCCACATCCTTCCTGTAATGTGATGACCAGAATTGAATGCAGTAGTCTAAATGTGGCCTAACCAAAATCTTATAAAGCTGCAACATGAGATCCTGACTCTTGTACTCAATTCCCCGACCAATAAAGGCAAGCACGTCATATGCCTTCTTTACCACCCTATCTACTTGTGTGGCCACTTCAGGGAGCTATGGATTTGAACCCCAAGATCCTTCTGTACAACATGGAGTCATGTCTTCAATTTTTGTTCCCATTTTCCAATTTTTGTTATGAAATACAAAAGGATAAAGGAAATTGAATACCAGCCAAGAATTTCCAATACACCTCATGTCAAATTAAGGATGACATAGCAAAAGCTTCTCAATGAGTTACCTGGTGATTAGTTGAGCCACACAGAGCAGCAAGGTCTTAGGCTTAATCTCGAGTCTGTGCTAAACTCAGCCCCTGGATTAGTCAGAACTTGCTTCCTTATGCTGGCTAGCTAGTGATGCTCTCATCCTGTGAATTAATAAAAAAAATGGTTTTGGGTATCAATCTGGTAAACCACCTTTTGAATATTACTAAAACAGAGAATGACTAGAATTCAGAGCAGCAGAGGGATTTAGGTGTTCTAGTGCGTAAGTCACAATAAGTCAATATGCTAGTGCAATATTTAACCAAGGATGCTAATAGAATACTATCCTTTATTACAGAGGAATTGAAAATAAAAATAATGATGTTATGCTGCAGTTGTATAGGGCAGTGATGAGATCACATCTCAAATACTGTGTGCAGTTTTGGTCTCCTTCGTTAAGGAAGGATATAAATGCATTGAAGGCAACTCCAAGGAGGTTTACCAGATTATTCATTCACAGAATGAAGGTGTTACTAGCTAGGCCAGCATTTGTTGCCCATCCCTAATTACCCAGGAGGCAATTAAGAGTCAACCAATTGATCTGGAGTCACATATAGGCCAGACCAGATAAGGATGGCAGTTTCCTTCCCTGAAGGACAGTAGTGAACCAAATGGGTTTTTCCAACAATCAATTCACGGTCATCGTTAGATGATTGATTTCAGATTTTTATTGAATTCAATTTCCACCATCTGCCATGGCAGGTTTCGAACCCAGAACATTACCTGGGTCTCTAGGCCATTGCTTCCCCTTTGGAGAGTCATCCCTGGTGTTCTGGCAGACACTTTTATCCCTTGATCAATATTACTAAAACAGAACCTGCATCATTGAGCTTGTTCAATCTTGCTGTGAACAAACTGGCTGCTGCGTTTCCTACAGCACAATAGTGATGACATTTCACGAGTATTTCATTGGCTATAAAGCACTTTAGGGTGTCCAGTGGTCATGAAATCAGCTTTATAAATTCATTCTATCTTATTTTAATGAGAATGCTTGAAGAGTGTACTGGTACTCTCTGTCAAGATAATGGAGACAACTAAGCAAGTACCTAGCAAAGAGGTGGAAGAGAGAGGGGTATGCCTAAGTGAGAAATGTGAAATTAAATTTAATATTTGTCAATTTTTAAAAAAAAATTTTGATGGAAGAATCCTCCTTGCTTTACATTTCAATTCACTCATGGCATGCTTTTATTTATTTGAATTAAAACTGGCCAGCTGATTCTTGATCAGCTTATGTTTTAACATAAAGTTATCTAACATGAGGCATGGGGAAAAAATCTTCCATTCTATGCTGTATCCCAAAATATAGGTAACAATTATTACTGGACAAAGAATGTCAGATTGTCAAGTTTTTGATTTTAACTTGCACATGGAACTGACAAAGGAGAAAATCATGAATTATTGTTTGACATGTTGTCATTGATTGGATAACTGAGCACTTCTCATTATTTTTATTTTAAGGCTGCAGAAAAGTTAAAATGTGCTATATTTGTACATCCTTGGGATATGAAGATAGATGGGAGAATGTCCAAGTACTGGCTTCCATGGCTTGTAGGTTAGTATTACTGTGGAGTTCTGCAGACAGTGGGCAGTATATTGTATGACAAGTCAAGTTAAACCTGTATTTCAGTAATCCTCTATAAACAGATCTTCTAATCTCAATCGTACTACATTGGACAGCACCAAGAATTGACCTGTTATTTTCCCCAAGGAGCAAGATGGAAAATTAGAGGGAGAGCCATGCAGGCCACAGTCACATTATATGTGGCATTGGGTTATTCATGAGATGGAAGAAAAAAATTAGAATTTTCAACAACTGTACATGTTTGCTGATCCTCCTTAGTAAAGGAAAAACGTGCGTTGGAGGTGTTTTTGAGTAGTTTACGAGATTGATCACATTCAAAAATAATAAAATTATGGGAGGTTGATTCATTTTGGATGGTAGGGCAAAAGGTCGAACAGCAACGTGGGACAAGTTTGCGAAGTCAATGTCAACTTCAATTCTAAGATCCTCGCGGTAATTCAGACATCTTGAGCAAATAACAAAGACTTAACACTGTAGTTGCTAACTTTGGCAAACACACTGATTTTACGTTGCACCATACAGTCAGTTCCAAAGGAATCAAACCTTGCCCTAAGGAGTTGTTTGGTTTTGACAATTCCCTGTTGTCCTTCATGTACTAGATCTACAATATGTTCTCAAAACAACTGCAGAATGACAATAAATGATAATACAGTTGCTACATAAAACAAGAATTTATTTTGAGCATTGTAAAGACCATGTTATGTCTGTGATTTTATTCGTAGATGCTCTCAACCATATCTTTGTAGTTTTTGAGATTCTATAGCTAATATACATGGGTGTAATACCACATTGTTTTGTTGGCATCAGCTAGTTTTAGCATCTTTGGCACTGTGTTTAGGCTTATATACTTCAGATGTCATCAAACATTTCCTCACAACCAATTGGACCAACTGTCAGCAACAGACGTCATGAAAGATATTCCATTGGGTTTCTCTAGCCTATCTGGTACTCAACATAGAATTTTTACTCTTGTAATTTAAGTAACCAATGCTGTATTCAAGTTGATGGTTTGTTGAACAAGCTTACTAAGATGCCTGTGATCAGTTATTACTTCAAATTAGTTTCCATACAAGAGGAGATGAAAGAATAATATTCTGCATGTGATTAAGAAAACTTCTCTGTGAACAATGTTGCTGTACAGGTGATAACAATCTGCTTGTAATCTTAATAATTGATGGGTTCCCTACCTTGTCTTTCTGCACAAAAACGAACCAGACTTGTATCTATTGCTGGCTGGGTTTTTATTCCTAAAGTTAAAATAATTATTTGTGCAGTTTGCTGACAACCATCCCTTGATCTAGTTGTTGTTGTGTCACCAATTTTACCAGAGCATAGGGCTGCTGTCTCATTAGAGAGAGATGATGGGTGGTGATTGATCTAGTGAATAGCATGTTTGTGTGATTTAATCCACTCCTACTTAGTGGTCTCTTTTGTCAGATCACAGATGGGATAGATAAGATAGTGAGGCCAGGAATGACGTGACTACAGTAAAAAAAACTCTAGATTTCTTCCACAATCCATGGGGTTTTCAATGGCTTTAATTTTCCATGGATTGGATGATACTCCTTCACCACTGAATACATGGCCAGAGAATTCAATTCTGCTTTCATTGACCAAACACTTTATTTGAGATGCATCTGCATTATCTAAGACACTGTAGACATGCATGTGAATGTGCCTTAATGTCACTTTAAGTACTATCGTATTTGAAAACGTCGTCACTGGCATTCTGTGCGTCCCATTCCTTGAAGTACAAACTAAGTCACGTGCTGATATGTCATAGTTGCTGACTGACTCCAAAGTTGAGATTCCTACATTTTGTAGAAGTCCAATGAAAATGTAGAATTGAATGAGATCCCTTGATTCTTCTGCAACTTCAATTTAATGGTAGCCATTAATGCGACCAATTTGGTGAAATGTTTATTGTCACTCCCTTTCTCTATATTATCATTGCTTGTTGGTGTCAGGTATCTTTCTTGTATTGAGTGGCTTGGTGATTGCACATTCTAATTTGATTCTCACTTTTGGATTTCTGGTAACATGAATGAGTGAGACCTAAAGGTTGGGTCATTCCAAGCTTTCTTATTAATGTCAAAGTCAAGTAAGTGCTGACATTCCTTCTCTGTCTGCATTCTAATGTGAAACGATATTTGTCACCATTGATGCACACTTGGGGGTACATTAGGGTCTACATACAGATTGCATTGAATATCTCTCAGCTTGTCAATAGCAGTCAATATAACATTCAAGAATGTTGGTGGTACACTTTGAAAGCACTTAGGTGACTGCAATAGTGCGTGGCTCTTTTTCACTATTTATGACTTCATTATGCACTTAAAATCCACAGCAGGTTGCAGAAAAGAAACTACCTGTTTATGCTCAGAAATTGTAGCCCCAGTGTAGTGCCAGTGACCTCCAGTGCTGCAGAATTGCACTTGGGTTGTGGTTTTTTTACCCTCTTTATTTCTCCTCATCTGTGGGGCACCATACAAGGTCAATACCTCCAACTTTAGGTTGTGTGTAATTTACAGGGTTGCAAACAGATGAAACACAACATCTTGGGACTACTTGACCACTTGCTGTCTGTTATTTTATTCAAAAGGTGGATTGAAATCAAAAGTGGAAAACTGTGGTAGATATTGTTAGAGACAGGTCGTCTCCCCAATCCATTTTGCTTGGCACATTGCCTTTACACCAGCTGAAATAGGCACGCTTTTAAGGAAAAGTCAGGTGATATTTTTATAAAATATACACTGAAATATCAAGATCATAGAATCCCTACAGTGTAGAAACAAACCAGTCAGCCCAACAAGCCCACACTGCCCCTCTGAAGAGCATCCCACCCAGACCCATTCCCCTACATTTCCCATGTCTAACCCACCTAACCTAAACATCCCTGGGCACTATGGGCAATTTAGCACACCCAATCCACCTAACCTGCACATCTTTGGACTGTGGGAGGAAACCGGAGCACAGGGAGGAAACCCACACAGACATGGGGAGAATGTGCAAACTCCACATAGGCAGTCGCCCAAGGGTGGAATCGAACCCGTTTGCCTGGTGCTGTGAGGCAGTAGTGCTAACCACTGAGCCACCGTGCCGAAATATCAAGATATAGACTCTTATTTTCCAAGCAAGGGCCAGTTAATCCAGTTGGCTATACAACATGTGGAACAGATTTTGTACAGGGTTGATCCATATTTGACTGATGCAGACATCAAGCCATTGCAGAAAATCAATTAATTTGCAGTGGTTTGCTGAATAATCATGTAGTACTTGCATTCAGGTAGAAAACTCAAGAAGGAGATTTTCTGAACAAACCTCAGAATACCTTTCATTTGCAACAGAAATACTTTGAAGGGTGCAGCTTTGATCTCCTTATCTTGGGAAAGATATTATTACCTTACGGGGACAGCAACTAAGGTTCATCAGACTTGTTCACGGGATGATGGAACTGTCCCAAGAAGAAAGATTGGGTAAACTGGCCCTGTATTCTTTAGAGGTTCAAAGAATGAGAAATGATCTCATTGAAACTGACAAAATACTTAAAGGGATAGGCAGGGTGGATACAGACCTCGTTGGAGGAGTCTAGATATGTCACAATTTAAAAATAAGGGGCATGTCATTTAGGTCCAAGATGAGGAAAATTTTCTTTTTTACACAGAGGGTTGAGCACCTTTGGAATTCTGGAGTCCGAGACTCTGAGATTGAAAGATTTTTTTTATTACCAATGCTAATACAGGGTTATGGGGAGAGGGATAGGATGGAGAAAGGCATTGAAGTGTTTGATTAAACATGATCATATTGAACGGCAGCACAAGCTCAACAGGCTGAATGGCCTACTCCTTTTCTTATGTTCCTAAAAGAGACCTCATAGATGTTGATGCGATGCAATGTTTTATAAATTAAATTGAACCCCCCAGTGCTGATATTTAGAAATAGTTTTTCTTTGATTCTGTCCCTGGGCTGTTTTTAAAAAAAGTAACATCCGTAGCCATGGTGCAAAACTGAAGATTTTTTTATTTTTCCTTGGGATGTAGATGTCACTCTCAGGCCAATATTTGTCACTTATCCGTAAGTGCCTTGCTAGGCCATGTCGGACAGCAAGTAAAAGTCAATGCATTGTGATCAGTGTCAAGTCATAAATAGGCTAGTCCAGGTAAAGATCGCAAATTTCCTTCCCAGAGGTCAATAGTAAACCAGATGAGTGTTTACAAAGATTTATGGTTGTTTCATATTCACCATTTTTGATCCTAGCTTTCTACCTCTGTTTTTGTTGAATTTTCATTTCACCAGCTGCCATGGTGGGATACGAACCCACAACCCAGAGCATTAACCTGGGCCTCTGGATTACCAATCCAATGACATTTCCACCATCTCCACAGACATGCTGCTACATGTCAACACTGGGCTCCATATTAAGTTGACTAAGTCCAAATTATATTGAGTTTATTTTTAAGTAGGATTCTCGCCTCAAGGCCTATGAGTTTCTTGCCATACCTTAACAAACTGACCTCATTACCACACACCCTGGCTCTATGGCATCCATCACGTCCAAATCTGGCCCTATCATACCACGTGCTATTTAAGGAACAGCCTTTCATTCAGCAGATATGACAGAATTCAGCAGCATCCATTGCGCCTGTGTGATCTTTCAAAGCCTATTGTGCGCCAGAAAAGCATAATCATTCCAGAGCTGCTTTGTATTGCTCCTGACGTTTTCCCCAGACATGGCTGACAAATGCTGTGCAGTCAGGGACCTGGAGGTCCTGCTGGGTGGGTGGTACAGAGGCAGGACTTCCTTTTCCTCCAGGACCAATACACCAGGTCACACCATGCCAGCCTGGTCCAAGACTACCACCCTTATTGAAGCAGTCTCAGTGTCTGGAGGGCATGTAGGAAGAAGGTCAATGACCATCTACACTCCAATCATCTTCTCTCCAATACCTCACACTCACTCTATCTCTGCT